CTACAAACAAATCATGAACCTTTTTTTTACAAAGATTACGGCACCTTGATTCGTTTGCCACACAGCATGAACTCAGGCGTGGGTGAAAATATATACGATTGGAACCCAGAAAATTCTTCGCCCAAGTTTGGAATAGGACTGATCGATGATCAGTGTTCGTCAGGCCAGCTAGCCTCCGAAGGCTTATAAGTGTATTATTAGGGATGCGAGATGCACAGAAAAAACGAAAAGCGTTTTAGTCAAAAGCTCGGTAATCAAGTAGGTAGTATTTATACTTGCGTTCTGCCTGTGAGGTCCAGGTTCCGAGCCCCAGTTGCGTCTTAAGTTCACATTACTGATGAGATCCAATGAGTTCGAAATCTCTGTCTGGTGCTTTCTAGCTTTGTAGTTCATATTTCGAATGCTCAGTACACGACTAAATCGGTCGCAACTTCAAAAAAATCCTACACAGCTCTTAAGGTACTAATTATAATATTGATATCACATTTCTCGTCGACCTTTGTTTCTTCCTCGTGACTCAGGACTTTCACGAATAAATCAAATACGTGCGTACCATCTGCAAATTTAAGACTACTGTGCCCTGTGGATAGTAGAAAGTTGAAATTGAAATGACCCTATATATTATCGTGAAGCTTCCTAAACGATGAAGGTCGCTGTATTTGACCGGTACCTGTTTTTTACCTATTCAGTCATTTTGTGCGAAACGCATTCGTATCCTCAAGACATTATCCAGGATAAAATCCACCATACTGATTCGTTGTTTAAGTCTATTGGAATCCGATGTAGTGATTAGAAAATAAATACGTACACCGATCCTATGATCCGATGTGTACACACTTGCAATAAATTGTGGATAAATGAAGGCGCCCTAAAACCTTTTAGTGCACCATATTCAATGACCGTTTCAGGAAGATATCCGTGCTGAAATGCCTAATTTAGTATTGTACATTCAAGCTACTAGCTAATTGGTAGTAGTGTAACGAAGTTGGTCAAATTTCATCTCACCTTTCCTAATGCACATCACTTATTTTCCCTTGGTTGTCCGAAAAACACTTTTCTCAAATAGTTGCTTCTCTTTACTATTTTCATCTTGACGCCTGATAGTTATTGGAGTGTTCACCGGGTGGCTTTTAAAACACGTCGAATTCAGTCCGGCGTCGTGAACTCTACTCGCAATTCGTCGCAGTCATGAGACAGCAACCAAAACCGGCACTCGAAAGTGTATTGTTAATGGTCGTAAAAACTGAAACCGAACTATATCAGGCACCTAAATGCAATTATTGGGGGAATCAAAATATCGTTTTGTATAACTTAGTACCTGAAGCCCAACATAACCTGGGAGCTTTAATTTGGAAGTAATCCAGATTGAGGCAAAATGTTCTTCTTGGTTAAATATTTTCGATGCTTCTTGATCAAGAAATCAAATCCTGTGAGGAAACAGAAGAGCCACATAATATTCATGTTGATATGAGGTGGATCAGTCTTGGGTTTAGAATAGGTCAGAAAACAAGGGAATAAACTGCGAATGGTTCCACGCCTTAGAACAGTGCACGCCGTGCGGATTTCGTGAACTGTTCAGTGGTTTTTACCAAATTTGTTTCTCAAAACAAAGGGTCTCTTGATTCTGATAATAAGTCAACATTTTTTTTGAATTCAATGGTGGGGTCTTATGACGAATAAGCCAGAGGTAATGTATCACGATGATTGTATTTTTCCCTGTTTCACAGCTCGAAATGCTTTGGCGCGCCTCATTCCCGATTTTGAAAAGATCGTTGGATCCGATTCACAATCGAACGGTCCGTCCCCGGCCTCAGAACGGGATTTACAGCTGTTTGATTCCATCGCGATCACAGATCCACGATTATACGAATTGTCCGTTCGGATGGCCTTGCCCACTCCATATAATCTGTTATTGGAGTGCCTCAATCGGAGTTGTGTTCCCGAGTCTGACCTCAAATCGAACATGATATCACAGGGACGGAACAAACACTTCTTCACTTTGCAACTCAATGAACGTTCGGTCAAAGTGAGAGCAATGCTTCATCGAAGTGGAAGTCTGTATTCCTTTTCATCGATCATTTTTCTACTCATTATGTTTGACCCATAACAGAAGCGCGTATGATAATGAATGGGTATCAGAGTAAGGTCTACATTGGATATTGTTTCAAAAAGCTCTTACTTTTGAACATAAATTACATGTAGTCTTCGTCCGATTTTAGCTAAACAAACGAACTTAACGGAATTTTTTAGATTTCCAGAAATTCGGATCTTTGATGATGCGATAAGTTGTATCCTACTGTTGCCCTCACACTTAGTGAATTTCCCACAATTTAGGGTGACAGTGGTCTAAGTCACTGTCTGTGCTGTGCGCCAGACCAATGATTGAGGTTCGAACCCTAATACCTTGACCCAACTTTGCTGACCCACAGCTTGGCGACCATCTGTCGGACTGAATATCACACTTAGGACTTAATATGGACACCAATCCAGGTCCCGGTGTTGCGAATGCAATAAGTGACCAATAAGTCTTCGGTATTCTGGGATCGTTCTCTCTCTGTTATGAGTATCTAACGATAATTACCTCCAAATTAATAGGACTGTTGGATCCGTACGATTATCTAGACCGACATTGAGTTAGGCATAATCTCAGAAGCCAGGTCCAAATGTTCTCGAGGTTTATTCTACTCCAAAGAATGGCAAATAACAGTGCAGTATTCAAATTGTAGCTTTTCCCAAAGCATATACCTTAACCAACAAAAGAAACAGTGCCAATTGAGAACCAAACATGCAAACGAGGGAGTTTAGAGCTCCGTCGTTCGAACAGACGAAAGATGAAGTAGTACCGGAACACGCTTCGCACATCGGTTAGTGTGACGCATGCGTGAGGCAGAACCAATTCGAATAAGCTCAAGCAAACCCGTATGACAATTAGATAGCAATTAGAGGATAGAGTGAATCACATCATATCTGGGCTAGGGACAGTAGTCACGAGATGAGATAAGGTCATCTGAGGTTGTCGAGTGAACATAGAAATGACATTGGTGATGACCGGGATGCCTATATCTTGACTCAAAATGTTAGGTGATCAATGGTATCCATCCATGACTTCAAATAATGGTTTAGTTTACCGATGGGTGGCTGAACAACTATGTGAATGGGAACATGTGCAGGGCAGCAAATAGATTTATGCTTTGTACTGTCACGGGATGAGTTGTCTCAAAATCACGCGTTGTTCGATTTATGGTTCTCACGGGTGACAACATTTCATTCCGGATGATGTCCTCATTTCTGTACTGGAAAACACCGGATACACTGCTCCAGATAGATGTCGTGAACCACCAGGCCGGAATCAATACTGACTTTTGCAACTCTATCGGGTATAGGGGAA